TGAATTTCCTTTGTGCTGCGTTCGGTCACACAGCCTCCTTGACAGACTCAGGCTGGGCATGTCTCGGTCACATAGCCCAGCGCAGACAACTGAGTCTGTGTCTTACCGGGGGCAAAGTTCTGAGCCCCGGTCTGCTGCTGAACAGGGTTACTGCATATGTCACATAGCATGGTCTAAATAGCATGGTCTAAAGACTCTAACGATGGAACGAGTGCTTGGTGGGGAACCCCCCACCCCAGGAGTAGCTTCATCACTTCTCAAAGTTTTAAGTTTAGTTTCAAGTTTAAAACTTTAAACCTAATCCTGTATATACTATATACAGATAGCATCTTCTTTTTTTCTTTTGACTACATCGTTAGTTAACGGCAGGGTGTGTAATGGGGAAGGAAACTCTGCAATACCGTCTTCTCCCGAACATAAGTCGGAAGGCGCGGACACAGATGTGCCACAGGCCCACACATGAGTTGACCAAACCTTGCATCTCAATGGTCGCGTCTGAAGTTGTGGGAAGTGTTTGCTATTGTTCTGTTGATCGTGCCAACGACAGTTTGATTAAGCAAGCCAATCAGACTTGCAGTGCAGATAGGATTCAAATCATTCTAGTAGTTTTATATTGCTTATATTCGACTCGTAGCCACTCCAGTTATTGTGAGTGAGTGTATGTCATCTGTAGTCTTTCCAATTATTGTGAGTGAGTGTATTTCATCAGGTGAACCATGCTGTTTCTGAGCATGATTACTTCTGTGGAGTGAAGGGATCTGTGATTCATGCAATGTCTGATGAACAAGATAAACGGCGATGGGGTCGTCTGATGAACAAGATGAAGTGCTATGTGGTCCTCTGATGGGATCTCTTTTTCTTATGGACTGTCTTGGGTATGCGCAGGTGATTTGTGAACGAGGGAGTGATGTGATCATTGTCGGGCGAGGAATCATCAAGGCTGCGGATCCAGCGGCGGCTGCGCGAGAGTATAGAGCTGAAGGTTGGAATGCCTATGAGAGAAGTCTGGCAGGAGGGAGGTAGCGGCGCTGCACTCGTACATAACCTTGCCGATGCAAAAGGTAGAAACAATCCGCCCCACGTAAAAGACCGTGTGAGGGTACAGGACACAGGTCGCTGTGACATTTCACTTCGTGTTTGCTTTCTATCTTTGTCTGTTTTTTCTTGCCAGTGAAACTGTTACGAACCGGTTCGCGGAAAAACCACCACCGTGGTCGGTGCTGCTTCAAGGATGACTGTTTTGCTTCTTGGGATTGCCCCACTTTGCCAGGGGCCTTTTCTTGACCAAATCATCGTATATATATATATATATCTATTTGACGATATATATTCTATTTGTGACGATATATGTATATATATAGCCGTGGCGGGCGAGTGCCATAGGATTAGTGCTGATGACAGTGAATTCAAAACAATGGGGAGTAGATTAGGCAGCGAGTGCCTTCGACCATGGCTGGTAATGTGAGTGTTGATGAGAGTCAGAGGTGCTTGTTACTCTGATCATCTGCGGCAGGACAACTGTCAGAGGGAGGATATGGTTATGATACTGAGTCTCGTTCGGACCGGAGATGGAAGAGACGTGTTGGTCTTGAGACTGTGAAGGAAGGTGAAACTTGAGCGGTGCGTGTTGATGGCAGCGGCAGCCTTGTGTGCGGTTTCAAACTGCTCTGGAAACTGTAGCTGCGAGCTAACTGCGTAGTCAGCTGTCTGAGTTTATGTCTGGGTTACAGGACGGTAGCGGACAGATCATCGAAAGGGAGGGGGGGCGGCGCAGAGGTGTCATTGCCAGGCGTGGGACCTACAGGATTGATGAATAGGAAACGGTGCGGGACTACTAATCTTATTTAGGTTTGTCGTTCGCTTATAGCTAGAGGTACGATTGCGGGGTACTTACCAACTGGTGATCAAAAGCGGATGGGTGACGAGGTCCGACAGTTGCAAAACCCCATCGCGTCGGGGAGAATTCTGCAATTACCATGGCATTCAGGGAGGACATAGGCCTGTTTTTTTGGAAAGGGCTTGTAATTCCCTCGAGGATGGTGCCGAGCGTTAACGAAACGAAGGAAGAAAGGAAAAGATGAAGCGGCCATGAGTTTGCTTTCTTTATCCTTGTAGTACAGTCTTCGTCTGAACGGAACGTACGGTCATAAGATGGCTGTATTCTGCACAATTTCCTGTCTAGATACAGTACTATAATGACCGTATGTTGTACTTGGAGGACGATGGTAGGCTTGTATTGGATTGCGTTCCCTCATTCTTCAAGCGACTGGTTTCTTGATTTCAAATCTGTACTGAACAATAGGTTTCATGGTACCAGTAGTAGCTTTCTATTCCCTTGATTTCAAATCTGAACTGAACAATAGCTGTCTTGGGATCAGTAATAGCTTCCGTGGGACTGGTAATAGCTTTCTAAGGTCAGAAGGAAGCTATTGTTCAAGTCAGATTTAAACCACCAGTACATCCAGCTATCGGTCGCGGGGTCTTTTTGGAGGCCACCCGCCGCCGATTCAATTTACCTACGGCACTGGGCTTTCGAAATTATCGTAGGCGATGAGTTTTCTTTTCAGCAAGGCTGGGGCCATGTACTGGCGGTTTAGGAGCTTTCAAGTTTCAAGGAAAGAATAGCTTTCTTGCGCCCATCTCACGTGGACGGAACAAATGACCCATTCCAGGATTCATATTGCACGCCTCTCTCTCTCTCTCTCTCTCTCTCTCTCTCTCTCTCTCTCTCTCTCTCTCTCTCTCTCTCTCTCTCTCTCT